TATATATATTATTGAAATATATTTTTCGTCCGTTCTGGCGCTCTGTGATGAGTGTTGTACCTTGTCCTATATACACATTCTCTCACAGGTGAGTATCGTTTAGATAGGGATCAAATTCTGAGTTTTTTCGAGGTCGACGCAGTGAAAACGAAGTTTTACCAGTATTTGAACGAAGAGGATGCGGCGGATCTTGAGCAGAAGCGTATCGAGTATTACAACCATGTCATGGCTGTCGATTTCCACAATGAGCGCCTAGTACAACTGCTGCTGAGCGATCTGCCCTCGATGTATGTAGACCCCCAAGTGAGTGTGTCAACGTACGCATAAGGTGTTTGTGTCTCTTTAGTTTAACGCGCCTGTGCACAACAATACCACTTCATATATTAAATATACACCTAAAAATCGGTGCCTATTTGTAGTGATATTGATCTAATAATATCTGTTTGTACAATCAGTATTGAGCGAATCGTTCTGCGTACGTTTTCATATCATATGCTTTCACCCATTATTACAAGAGCCCCGAACCTGGATATCTATACATAATTCAATCATTAAATGACCGTCATGGCCAATGGGTCCTACATGCAGCTTGCCTCTAATGTGTCGCAATCCCCTTCTCATAAGTTGCGTGCCTTTCAGCCAATCCCAGAATCTATCTCTTCGTTCTATCTTGGAAAATAATAAAACTCGGTTGTTTCATCATTACGTACAGGCTGTTCATAACCCAATTTCCCAGTTGTTTTGTATGACCTCGAAATACATAGTACTACGATGGTCTCGTCTAATCAATTTCTTTTACACTGCTTTCTCGCTCTCAACCCTAATTATTATTCTTCGTCATGTGTTCATGTTTTATTCGCTTAGCATCCTGCTTGTGGCTGTCTTCTACTCTCAGGAAGGCTCGCCTCGCAGAAGCGCATCGATTGCGAGATACAGAGCTCATAAAACAGGTTAGTAGTACACTCCAAGATGTGCTTTGTACATGAGGTGGAAAGCATAACGAAAACAGTTAGTACATCAAGGCTGTGATAGAGGCGGCTGTTATAAGCTTGGGCTGAGAACTCCTTCGCGCGCAGGCATGTCCATCTCAGTAGAACAGACCACACAACATATAAAGATGGATCCAAGACCATACCACATATAAAGATGGATTTTAAGACCACACATCACATAAAGATGGATCCAACACCACACAACCTATAAGGATGGATCCAACAACAAGTCTCTGGCTCGGCAAAATGCCCCAGCCAAACATTCGTGATCGTGTAAACCACCCTGCGAGCCTGTATATATGACACGCGCGCAATTGATCTATAGTCTCATTTGACCCGTTTTATGGTCCGCCGGTTTCGTCCTCTCATCAGGTCAGGATTGATCTCGCTAATCTGCGCCTGGACGTCTCCGAACGCAAGACCAGCCGCAATCAGCGCGAACGCCAGCGCTGCGAATGTGCCCCGGCCCTGGCCCAAAACATCGGGGCGCTGAAGTCGGCCCATTTTTTCGCTCAGGTACATAGAAGACCCTCAAAAGCTCTTCTCTCGGGAGTTCTGGCTTGCTTCTGTGTGTTTATCTCATGTGTGTAATGGGAACCTAGTCACGTGTTTTTCTGTGTGTTTGTTGTTGATGTGTGCATCCGCATTGCCTGGGTGTTCTACCTACCAGCGTGCGTCACTTCAAATGTTGTATAGTTCAGATCAAAATATTCCACCCCTATAGACCTGCTACGCGGGAATCCTCACTCTATCAGTAGTTGTAGTCATTCCTTGGAGCACTCTTCATATCTTTGAGTAGACATGGATATTGCGTAAGCCGTTCTCATTCGCCTTGTTGCAGCATGACTGTATGCTCGTGTGTATTTGGGTTGAGATGCCACGGTATTCCCCGTTCTCCGGGAATTGACCAATCAAATTCACTCTACAGCAGAGAGATTCGGATGAACCGAACGCCAATAGTAGCAGGCCGATCGACACTCTCATACCACGTGATGAAGATCCAACCCGTAATCAGAGCAACATAGAGGATGAATCGACAGCAGTGGTGTCCAATTTACTAACCGGGGTCAAAGCGGGTATCAGAAAGAGGCGGGCCAGGCGCATACCTGACCACGAGATAGCTCGCCTGCTTAAGGGGGATGAGTACTGAAGTGTGAACTGCGTATCAGCTGTTCGCGTGTAGTAGTTGTGTTCTCAGATGTGAGGGTGTGTCCGTGCGAGTTTGCGTCTGAGTGTGCGTGTGCGCTGGTATAAGAATCGTTTGGAGGCTCCCTAGGCGTTGAGAGAGATTTGGAAGCGTTGTGTGTGTCTATAGACCCGGGTGCGTGTTTGTGTATTCCCGGCCAGTCTGACACAGGAATGATCTATATCAAATATACAAATCGTCTCGGGTCGGAATGCAGCAAGCATACTATATATGTGCCATGACTCGATCTAAAGTGCAGAGTATAACTACTTGACTGGATACCATAGGGATGTCAACTGCAGCAAAAATGTCTCCGAATTGGGCTTCTTTCTGAACCGAAGTGTACTCTGGTAGGGCCTGATTTGTTCCAAAGCAAAACAGCACAAGGAATTCATCCTTCCGCTTCATTGTCGAGTACGCCATGTCTGGTCATGGAAGGCGGCTCATATTTCATTGTCTGCCTTTGCAATTGGATGGAGATGCGAATCAATACACCCTACCCAGTGCCACTCACATGTGTTGGAACCTCGAACCTCCTCAGCTCAGCTATATAGTTGACACTGATAGACTGACAGCTTCAGCATTTGAGTACCACGCCGCGCCGTTTCCCAGGCGACTGGGGTTCAGTGTTCGCACCCGAAGCCACGATGGGAACTAATTCAGTATCGTCACAGTTCATATAAGACTGGATTGACCATTGCAGTATCATCACAGTTCAAATCAGACAGGATTGTTTCTGTTATGTTCTTCCCAAGGATAACGGCTTTAAATTTTTAATATCGACTTATATAGTTGCACTTGAACACACTTTTGTGACGGGATGAGATGGATATAATTCAGTTCTATACGGGAACAGGTACCACTGATATCGTACTACCGCGCCGAAGTTCTATAAAGCTTAACGGAAAATTCGAAATATAATTTGCGACATCGTGGTATCAAGAGAGCAACAGTTGGACTATTGTCTCTCTTTTGCTCACTGCATTTCCGAATTGTCGGTAGTTTTAACTGAGCTGACGATAGTGGTTCTTAATATTTGTTGGTGGGACGCTTGAGGCCTGTTATGCCGCAAGACCCACACGCTTGTGCTGAAAAACGTTTGTGAAATTAAACTATACAAGTTGATAGACGGGTGACGTGAACGTCTACCGACAGATCTAAAAATCTGGGTGTGGCGAAAGGAGTGTAGTGCTCAATTCAAATGCAGGGGTCACACAAGTGCGAGAGAGGGTGGTGAGAGATTTCTGTAGGCTTGACTTGTCGTATGACAGTGCAAGTAGGGATCCACTACTTGTATGTTATATACATGCGCTTGCACATGAACTTGCTATATGAATACACTTGCACATGAACACACACAACAACGCATATCAAAGGCCGCGTTGTGAAAGGAGCAGCAATTGCATTAGCACACCAGTTAGTACAATACTGAAAATTTGCTAAATAGTACGCACCGTACGAAAACTTGCCGATTCGCTCACATACTGCAAATATGCGATGTACTTAAGAACGGTAAACCACCAGTTTAACTATTTTATCTTTTTGAAGTAATATCGAGTCTATGGTTTAAAGTAGATCAAATCAAACCTATTCGTACATCACTGATTTGATATTTATCACATGATCTAGAATTAAATAGATTCCGATACATGACAAAAACGTATCATCAAGGAACTACAAGGCAACTTCATACTTGGGGAGTGTCGACACTCGAGAAAAAATATAGGAATACAATTCGTTACACAATTTATTTTGCTGCGTACTGTGTCTATTAGTCTCTTAAAGATATTTGCCAAGCATGAAGGCTGCAGCACCTACGGCGACGGTCAAAAACGCAAAATTGTGCATTTGGTTCAGACTACTCACTACAACCCCAGGGATGTGGCGATGTGCGAGCTTCATGACAGCCATATCAACGTTTGTTTGGGGCGAGAATCGCGCTTTCAAATCATTTAGATTCGAGTTGATCATTATGGACTTCATGTGACTGAACTCTACAAAGCCTTGATAGCCGTGGTACTTACCGCTACCCGAATTTCCTACCCCTCCAAAAGGAAGGTTTTCGTTCAGCATGAATGTGATGGTATCATTGAACTGCAGACTGCCCGCAGACACATTCATGAACTTATTTTGTACATGCTTGTCATATGTGAATGCATACATGGCCAGTGGCTTCTCTCGTGTTAAAATCGAGTCGATCGCATCCTCGGCACCATTTACACGCAAGATAGGTAGTATGGGACCGAAAATCTCCTCTTGCATAGAGGCAGAAGCGTGGAAGGCCACCGAGTCCGTGCCGAAGTCTAAAAGTGTAGGTGCAATATACGAATCTGAAGCATCTGTTTCGCCACCATGAACTATGTACTTGCTGTCGCTCTTGATCATATTTGCTAAACGCTCATGGTGTGCCGGTACTTTAGCCATACGTCCAAACGCCATACTTTGCCGTGGATCATCACCGTACTGGGCTACAACCGTTTTCTTCAGCGTATCAATGAAATCTTCGGCAATTGAACTGTCTACGAACATGTGATCGGGCCGTATGCACGTCTGCCCGGCGTTAAGGCCTAATGATCCCCATACAATACGTTTAGCAGCTACTGCTAGATTGGCATCCTTACCGACATACACCGGTGACTTCCCCCCAAGTTCCAGTATGCATTTGGTCAAGTTTGTTGCGCCTGCTTTCGCCACCATGCGACCAAGCCCAGGTGATCCGGTTGCAAAAATGACATCCCAGCGCATCGACAACAGATCCTGGAGCTCGTCAAAGCCACCCGGAACAATACTAATAGCTTGTCTGTCCATGTACTGCGGAATCAGTTCACACAAAAGCTGCATCGTCTTGGGCGAGTGTGTCTCAGCGCCCGTTTTGACAACAACAGCATTACCAGCGGCGATGCTTGCCGCCATAGGATCGGCGATAAGTGTAATTGGATAGTTCCAGCAACCGATAATGAGGGCCGTACCCAGGGGCTCTGGCTTGATCATGGATGTGGCTGGATAGTTGAAAACATCAGTGTTCACGTGAGTAGCTCTTGACCAGCTATCTACATTGGCTATCATGCTGTCGATGCCGTTGATTGAGGCTTGTGTTTCGGCTAACCAGACTTCTTCGGGGCTCTTACCCAGATCTGCATACACTGCGTTCTGAATGAGTTTTTCATTTTCACTGATCATTCGTCTGAGAGCCTGTAGTTGGCTCTTTCTCCAGTGTATTGAAAGTGTTGTACCTGCTCTGAAAGCAGTGTTGGCAAGCCTATGAGCCTCAGCAGCACAGGTTGGCGATTTTGTTGCTTGGTTTACCATTTTAGATATAGGAATATATTGAGGGAAAATGTTGTTGAGGTGTTTGTAGTATGATACTATGAAAGAATCCTAGTATTTACATCCGCTTTAAATACTTTTCTTTTGAAATAGGAAAGTAAAATAGAATCAATGGTATTTTACGTTCGGAGATTCGCATATATTTACAGCAGCGAACCCGAACCTACGGATACTTTTAAATCCACATTTTGTTTTAAATAAAAAATCCCGGTCCCACGGTCCCAGAAACTCTCAGTCTTGAGTCACAGAATTTTCGGATGATGGAATGCCGAATGCCCTCGATATAGTGTCAATACAAAACACTATCATACCATTGGTGTATAACTGTACATAAGCCTCAACTGGAGAGCAACAGTTGTTGATTTCGTTA